CCTGTTTCCAAAATGGGACCTGAGAGGAATATGCCAGGATGTACCTAAAGACTCTCACAGAACCTGCCTAAACAGTCCTTGTCTTCACTTGGAGCACTTGGAAATCCATATCAGTGTGTGACAGGTGCCCATCTCAGGGCCAGGACTCAACGTTGGCCCACCCATGTGTCTTTATAGGGCAGCTCACCCAGCCTCACCTGCCTGTTGTTCCAAAAACTGGTGTAAAATACAGGAGGCTGTCCATTATACTGCCCCGATGCCAGGGGGCGCTGTACATGACTCTGACTTTCCCTTATCAGCCCCTCTTACAGGGGGTGCTGTACATGACTCTGACCTTCCCCATGCCTTGCAGATGGCATCCATATTGCTCCAGTGGCCCACACTGTGACCTGAGCTCCAAAGGCTCACATAGGACTCACTGTCACTCCCCACTGGAGCTCACAGTCACAGTGCCCTCACACTGGGCAGTTCTTAATCTTATGACCCAAACTCAGCCTCACAACGTCTGAGGACTTACCAGGGTATCAGCCTCTGGCCCAACTGTGGGCCAGACATCTGTAGACTTACCTTGGCCTAGCTGCCCCCTTCCTGGGGCCTCCCCAATATGCCTTCTCACTCAGGCCACTCTGCATCTCTGCCCCCTTGCTGGGGCCTCTGGGGTCTTGCACCCCATGGGGCTCAGGTATCCGGAAATGTGCCTGGCCCTTGTGCCTGTCCCTAGGTCTGGGAAATCCACCAGAGTGTCGGGGCTCGGGTTTTAAAGCATCCCTCCCCACCTTTCACTAGGGAGGCAACTGGCCTGGCATTTCTGGGGAGCTCCCCACCATAGGTAGCCCTACCAGGACATCCTCCCCCAGCAGGGTGCAGTTTCAAGTCATACCCAGGAGCAATGCAGGCCTACCTGCCTTGGTCATATGCTTACTCAGACATATGTTGCTCCTGGGCTCTCTCTACCAGACCTTCTGCTGCAGCCTCCTACTGTGGAAATAAGTTTAACCAGGTCTCTTACTTGACTAAGAAGAGAGACAAAGAGAGAGAAAGAGAAGAGAAAAAGATGCTGGTGCTATGTGTTTCAAAATGTTCTAAGATAAGGAAAAACATTCGTGCCTTCTTTTGTCTTGATATATTAATCTCTGTGTGCAGATGTTAACCTCCTCCTTTCCGGGAACCAGAAACTGATAGCTGTTCCCAAAACACAATGTGTTTGCTGAATAAGCAAACTGCCTACATGTGACAAACGAATGATCAACTTCTTCCTGTTTCTTCAAGGTTGCTCTGTCTGAACCATGCATCTTTTCTCGCGGTCTAAAGCAGAAATACGCTTGTAAACTTATAGAGTTCAGAGTTCCTTTGAGAACCCTCCTTGTGATCACTTGTATAGCTCTAAATAAACCAAGATGGCTCTGTCAATTCTGATACAACCACAATGCAAAGTTTGATTTCTTCCACACTACTGGTGGCTGCCTCTTGCTGGCACCCCTTTGGGTGCCTCCATGCAGAGGCTGAGTTTCAGCCTCCTTCATCTCAGCCTACTGTCTTGCTGAGCCTTTCTTCCCCTCAACAGTGATGCCCCCCCACTCCCAATCAAGGGGACATTCAGCCTCCTTAGACTCTGGCCCCACCTCCAGGCCAGTCAGGGTGCCAGATAGGTCATCAGGGCCCAGGCCTGCCCCTTGCATTTGGGTTTAATTGCCCTTCAGACTTCCAGCACTGGCCCTCTTGCACTGACCAGTCGGGGTTCGTGGGTCTCAGCCCTGCAGTAGTTGCCCTCCTTAGAAAACAGGGGTCCCCTTCTGGGCCCCACCATACAGCCATCTCACCCTGGGCTTGCATAAAGCCCCAGAGCTCTTAATAACATGGCTGTAGTCTCAACTGGACTCACCTGAGCCCCAGGCCTCACCCCTACCTGTTCTAACTCAGGGGCTTGCCTAGCCCCTGTGTAGGCCTACAAACAATAAGCCCCTTTTCTAGGCTGGGCCTTGCTCTCACTAGGCCCAGGTCTTCTTTGTGGGACTCAGGATATGCCTGAGCCCCCAGGAACCTCCTACCATCCTCATAGTTTCTCCTTTACCTCCAAGGATGTTCCAAGCAGCAGCTCAGCTGGGTGTTGCTCTTTCAGCTGCCAGCAGCATACTACTGCCTCAGCGCTGTGAGCTTGGATCTAAAATGCCCACCTTCTCAGGGCAGGCCCACACCTGCCAGCTGCCTGCTCTCAGCCTTAAAGTGGCAGACACCAAAGGTGCTTTGCCACACAGTGCCTCAGTGGGCATGTCTACACATGTGCTTTAATGAACATGTCCTATTTTAATGCACATTAAAGCACCACTAAAAAAACCATGGTATTTATTTAGTACACATTAAAATAGGCTAATGCACATTAAGCATCACTTAAAAACTGTGGGCACTCTTTTACATATGCTCGGGGGGGGGGAGTGGCATTTTAATTAGAACAACTCTGAGACCCACTTTAATTAAGTGCTTCAGCATCTCATGTATAAGCATCCCCATACTTAAAAATGGTGGTGGAGGCATTTGAACTAACACTCAAACAAGCTTTAGTTCAAGCACCTCTACTTCCATTTTTAACATGGGGGTGCTGATACACAAGACGCAGGAGACTGCTGGAGTGCAATAATTACCACGCTTGAGCAGACTCAATTAATCGAGTCTGCTCCAAGATACTGTAATTACAGCGTGTTAGAGCAGCCTCCACGCTTATGAACAGGCACCCCATGCTCTTTAGTTAATGCACATTAAGATGGGCTAATGTGCGTTTTCCTACTACCTCACAATGGAAGACACTAGGGCTGTGCAAAGCTTCAGGTGCTGATTTGATTCGGAGGAAATTCGGCCCAATTTGGTGACTGAATCTCCAAATCCGAATTGAATCAGGGGACCAATAAAAAGGTCCAAATCGATTCAAAGCTCTCCAAATCTTCGGAAAAGATTCAGAGAGCTTCGATGATTCAGACAGTCCCTGCCTGCTGCAGCAGGGAGCTACAGCCAGACATGGAGGGGTGGGGGGTGAAGGAGGTGGGATGGGACCATGGGGGGACCCCCACCAGGTGCCATTCTCTGGTTCCTCCCCCAGCCCCTCTGATCCCCTCCTGATCCCCCAAGGCTGCCCCACCCTCCCCAGCTCCCAGTGCTTTAAGAAAAAGCCCCCACACACCGAGTGTTGCTGGGCGGGAGCGATCCCTGCTTCCCCCCACTGCCCCACACTGCATGGAGGGCTCTGCCACAAGCCCCCCTGCACTCCCCTCACTCACCCAGCCTCACTCATGGCTGCTCCACCCACCCCAGCTCTGGCCCATTAAGGAAAAAAAAAAAAACGAGAAAAACCCTGGGACTCACCAGATCTTGCAGCAGCCTCGGAGCTTTGTGGGGCTTGTGTGGAGCCTCCCATATGGCAGAGGGCAGTGTGGGGACAGCAGAGATCGCCCCCCCCGCCAGGAAGGAACGGTGAGTCTGGGGGGCATTGTTGTTTTTTTTCTTAAAGGGCCAGAGCCGGGGCGGGCAGGGCAACCAATGGGGTGGGGGGGTAGAACTGGGGAAGCAGGGGGGAAGGTAGGCTCATGCAGAGCCCCCCACACAGTTAGGGGCAGTGGGGATCACCCCCTGCCTGACAGCACCTGGTAAGTCAGGGCTTTTTTTTCCAAAATGCAGGAAGCTGGGGCAGGCAGAGCAGCCATTGCCAGGGCTGGGAGAGCGGGCAAGGGATGGGCCTGTGTGATTCAGCCGAATCATTTCAGGACAGTGATTTGAATCGAATCATTGTCCCCCAAATCGGCCAAATCCAAAGCAAATACTAGCTGTTTTGCACTAGCTGTTTTGTACTGAAGGCACTGGCCAACACCATTGCAGAGCCACTGGCGGGAATATTTGAACGCTCGTGGCGCACGGGCCAAGTCCCGGAGGACTGGAAAAGGGCCAGTGTGGTCCCCATTTTCAAGAAGGGGAGGAAGGAGGACCCGGGCAACTATAGGCCAGTCAGTCTCACCTCCATCCTTGGCAAAGTCTTTGAAAAAATTATCAAGGCTCACATTTGCGAGAGCCC